ATGGCAGCAGCATGGGACATGAATAAGATGGGACAACACCAACACGGACGTTGTCCTGCCATGGGACACCAGCATGGACGTGGCACCAGCACGGACATGATTCCGAAATGCACGTGGCACTGCCACGGGCACAACGCTGCCATGGCACGGCCTCGCCGTGGGACACCACCAAGGACGTGGCCCCACCGTGGACACGCAATGCCACGAGCGTGGTCCTGCTGAGGGGACGCCACCAGCGCGTGCACAGCTCGGCCACCACCGTGAGCACGGCGCTGCCACGGGCACGGAGCCACCAGGAGTGGCACTGCCAGGGTCACACAGCTCACGGACACGCGCCACCAGGAGGGCACCAGGAGGGACAGGGCACCACCCAGGACGCGGCGCCGGCCCGGCCCGGCGCCGCCGCGCCGTGCCCCCACCCCATGCACGGCCCCGTGCCCGGGGGCACCCGGGCCGCTCCGAGCCCGTCCCCGGCTCACTTGGGCGACTTGAGGTCGCGGTGGATGATCTTGTGCAGGTGCAGGTAGTTCATGCCGCCGGCGATGCCCATGGACCAGTCGACCAGCAGGGAGGGGGTGACCTTGCGGCCGGCGCGCAGCACCTCGTAGAGCTGCCCCTGGGCGCAGAACTCCATGATGATGCAGTAGCAGGGGGCCTGGGTGCACACGCCCCTGCGGGCACAGCGGCACTCAGCGCCCGCCGGGGCCGCCGCTCCGGCCGGGACGCCCCGGCACGGTGCCCGGCCCGCGGTGGCCGTGCGCCGCGCCGTCCTGCCCGCCTTGGTCCGTGCTGTGCCGGGGGTCCCCATGCCCACGGCGTGACCGTGACCTCTGTGGCTGTGTCCATGCTGGGCACCGTGCCCATGCCGTGCCCATGCTGTGTCCATACTGTGTCCATTCCATGTCCATTCTTTGCCCGTGCTGTGTCCATGCCATCCATGCCATGCCATGTCCATTCCATGCCCATGCCGTGCCCATTCTGTGTCCATGCCGTGTCCATACCGTGTCCATACCATGCCATGTCCATTCCATGCCCATGCTGTGTCCATTCCATGCCCATTCCATGCCCATGCCGTGCCCATGCTATGGCCGTGTTCCAGCATGCTCCATGCCCCATGCCATGCACGTACCCATGCCATGCCATGTCCATTCCATGCCCATGGCGTATCCATTGTGTGTCCATACTGCGTCCATGCCATGTCCGTTCCATGACATGCTGTGCCCATGCTGTGTCCATACCATGCCATGCCCATTCCATGCCCATGCCGTGCCCATGCCGTGCCCATACCATGCCATGTCCATTCCATGCCCATTCCATGCCCATTCCATGCCCATTCCATGCCCGTGCTGTGTCCATACCATATCCATTCCATGCCCATGCCGTGCCCATGCCGTGCCCATGCCATGCCCGTGTTCCAGCACGCTCCATGCCCCATGCCATGCACGCGCCCCATTCCTGCAGCGTCCCCCGTGCCCACGGTGTCCCCGTTCCGCGCTGTCCCCGTGCCAGCAGCCCCGCTCACTTGAAGGTGATGATGTTGGGGTGCTTGAGCTTGCGCAGGTGTTTGATGTCGGTCTCCTTGAGGTCCCGCACCTTCTTCACGGCCACCTCCTCGCCGTGGAAGCGGCCCAGGAACACGGCGCCCTGCGCCCCGCTGCCCACCCACTGCAGGTCCAGGATCTCCTCGAACGGCACCTCCCAGGGGTCTGCGGGGGGGCACCGCGGGGTGGCACCGCGGCCCCCCAGGACCCCCACCACGGCACCGCGGCCCCCCAGGACCCCCACCATGGCACCGCGGCCCCCCACCACGGCACCACGGCCCCCAGAACCCCCACC